TGCGGCCAGGGGGGGCCGTGCTGGTGGTCCTTGCCGTCGGCCTTGCAGTTCTCGGCGTACGTCTTGCCCGTCTCCTGCAGCACCTTGACGAACGGGACCTCTGCCCCGACCATGTACGAGGTGTAGCAGGCGCCAGTCACCTCGGCCAGCTCGCGCGCGTTGGTGAGGGCGAGCCTCGTAAGGACGACCAAGAGCGCCGCCAGCGCTCCTCCCTTGCCGTTCTTCTGGTTGGCCTGCGCCTCTTGTCCGAGCTCCGCGAGCAATCGGGCCTGCTTGGCACCCTTGGAGTCGCTGGTCCCCTGGCCCTTGCGTTTCCCGACCGCCCAGCTGGGCTCGTCGAGATCCATCGCCTCCAAGCACGAGCGGGAGGTCCTCGAAATGGATGCGCGTATGGAGGTGGAGAGCAGGCTCGGAAAGAACTTGAGCCTCACATAGTCGGCAACGGAATGGGCCTGTCGGCGGGGCGAGCTCGAGAGTGGTACTGAGCTGAACCTTGCAGAAGCCCGAAGCGAACGAGTCCAGCACGTGGTTGTAAGCCGAGTTGCGAGACTGGAACCTGCTGCCACACACGAAGCACGAAGCGCCCTGGACAGCCTCGGCCAACAGGGTTTTGTAACCATGAGCGGCCCGAACGTGAGCCAGCCACTGACGTTTCGTTAGGAACCATTTGGCGCAGTTCCCGATGGAGCAGCGAAAGCCCTCACCTTGTCCAGCGGGGATCTCAGGTGGTGCCTCTTGATGGGGACCAGAAGTGCCTGCAGGAGGAATGCTGACCGAGAGCCACGCGGCCCTGACGACCGAGAGGTCCAGCTCCGTGAACCAGTCCCGCAAGTCCCCCTCCTCGAGAAACTCCAAAGGGGCTCCTGACCAGGAACGCATATCCTCCTCAGTGTCCACAGACGTCCTCCGAAGCGCCTCGAAGTCCCTGACGTACTGGATGGCCCAGGGGTTCGCCGTCTCCGTGAGATGACCCTCGGGTGTAAGAGTTCGGAGGCTTCGCATTTTCTCGATGTACATGTCCCCGAAAAGAGGGGCCCACTCGCCTAGATGTCGCGCGGGCTCTCGAGCCCATTGCTGGTACCACCGCAGACGTCTGACACGGAACTCGATCTCGAGAGGAGGGACCCGCCAATACCTCAAGACCGCCTCGGAAGGGACCGAACGAGCGTGGCCCCCCTCCCAAGACGTCGCGGCACCCCTCATGGCTTTGCGCCCGAAGAAGACGACCCGCGCCGTGAGCTGGTCGATCTGGCTGGGGGACGGCAAGAAGGCCTCGCAGGCGGAGCACGCAGGGCCCACGACCCTGGCCAGGAACACGGCTCGTCGCTCGGTGTAGGCGATCCCCCGAGCGTACCAATATTTTCCCATGGAGAAGAAACCCGCCGAGATGGCCGCCAGGCGGGCCGAAAGCTCGGCCCGAAATGAACAGTTACCCATGACCTGGCCTCCAAGATGTCGGGTCGAGTCTGCTGGGGCCCCTGCAAGAAGAACCTTTTTTTCCGCCACTTCACGCCGCCGTGCATGTAGCCCCGTGCCCACGAAGGACAAGAGGCTGACGTTCTTGGCTGGGTTGAGCGCGTAGCCGTGGCGTCGGAGCTCAGCAGAAAGAAGCAAGTCGTATGCTCGGGACCACCGCGCGAGCTCCGCGGCCGTGGCCTGGTCGGGCGGCACCACGATCTTCCGAATGGCGTCATCTACGTATGAGTGAAAAGCCAAGTCAAGAAGAACCTCCTCACCGTCAAAATTGAGCGTGAGCTGGCACCAGGTAGCCGTCTCGGGGCCAAACTCTGCGAACTGTTCCTGCACCTTCGCAAAGACGGTGCTGATGTCCCGCACAAAGACTTTCACCGCCCACGGGTCGCCAATGAGAGCCCCGACGCTGGGGCGCACGCAGAGGTCGCCGAACATCACGGCAGCAAAGCGGAAACGCTGGCGGCCGAACGAAACATGGTCGTCCTTCATGATGCTCTGATTGGCGTCTGCGAGGCTGTCCCAGTTGGTGGGCGCGAAGGCGTTGGTGATGTCCTTGAGGTCGGTGACGTGATTGAGGCCGAGGGGGCGCAGCTTCCATGTACACAGCTGCTGGCCCAGTATGGCCGTCTCTCTGCGCCGATGAGGTACGCAGCCATGAGCGAAAAGAGGTTCGTCCTGGAGCTCGTGTGGGTCCATAGCCGTGGCCATGAAGCCCTTGCCGAAAGGGTCGAGGAGGTGAATGACTCTCTTCCAGGTGAGCGCCACTCCTTGGCTCAAATGCCACACGAGCGGGACCTGGCCAGAACGTCGGAGCCTGTGGAGGAAGATCACCAAGAAACGCCACGTGTGCTCCTGGTCGATCTGCGGTGTCTCGTAGCCAACTCCGTGGTAGCGCCTGGACACGCGGCGGTACGGGTGAAGCAGCATCCACCATAGTTCCAGCGGGACCGACCACGGAGGGCAAGCACGACGCTTGGGAGCCCGTCGTAGCCAATCGCGAAGCTCGCGGAGACGGCGCTTGGCCCAGCTCAGGCCCTCCTCGGTCCACGGGGCGATGAACTGCTGCGCCTCCTGGCCCGTGACGTCGTGGTAAATGTAGTCCTCGGCCTGCTGGACCCAGTCGATGTGGGTGGCCGCCATGCCCCCTTCGCCAGCCGGCAGCGACCAGCGCTCGGCCAACTCCTCCCCAGTGGGGAGGGCCACAGGCGCCCGTCGGTAGTCTCTCTTGCGGGGGCCCACGCCTGTGCCAGCAAGAAGTCGGGAGAGGCGGGCCACCTCGGCGCTGCGTCCATGACGTCGGGCCTGGTTGAGCTCGTCGACTGTGTCGATTCGCCACGTCGCCCAGTACTGTCTGCGGGCCGAGCGGAGCCACTTGGTGTGGCATCGGAGCTGCCACTGCACGGAGAGGAGGGCCAGCGCGCCGTCGGCGCCGTCCGAGAAGTGGTCGTCGCTGAGCTGGAGTCGGAGAGCCCGCTGTTGGTCCAAGAGCGGCTGGATGGTGGCGGCCAGTGTACGATATCCAGGGCGGTACTCAGGGGCCTGAGCGAAGTGCTTGCTGCCTATAGTCATCATAGCGTCCATCATGAAACCCCAGTCGGCGTTGGGTGTCTGCTCCTCGCTCTGGATGGTGGCCCACTCGTCCGCGTGCTCACGTAAGTAGGTCTCGAGCTCGATGAGGAAGGCCGCACGACCTTGGCCCGAGCGAAGCGACTGCATGAGCGCCTCGCGGTTCCAGCGGATGGCCCGCGGCAGGTAGCCCAGGCGGCGGTGCTCCGTCATGTCACAATGAATGTGAGAGTCCGTGGTGGCCGAGATTGAGTAGTGCATGCAGGCGTGGACTGGGACGTGGTCCCTGGGCGAGCGGGTGGCGATGACCTGCAGCTCTCTACCCAATCGACGAAGCGGCCCCGCCGAAGTGATGTCGCCCAGGCAGGCCTTGGGCACGAATATGAAATCGATCTGCGAGGCCGTCGTCGAGCCAAAGTACGTCGGGCCCAGGCCTATGTAACTGTTGACCGCCACCATGCCAAGCTCCTCCATGAGGGGCAGGATGCTGGTCGCGGCGTAGCGCTGCTTGTCCAGCGCCAGCGGGCCGCTGACGTCGGAAGTAGTGGGTCGCCACTGGGGGTCGCCGTCGAGCTGGTGCAGTCCGAGCCCTGAGTTCAGGTCGATGCAGAAGATGGGGAGGACCCGCTTGGAGTTGAGGTAGGGCAGCGAGCGGAGCCAATCCGTGAGCGCGTCGCAGGTGCGGCGGTAGACGTCCTGGCCGCCCTTGACAGGCGGCGGTGGGTAGTAGGCTGAGCAGACGCCGAGATCGTACCTGGAGCACCTGGCGCGGAGCGCAAGCCCGCGCCCCGCCAGAGATCCAGCGGGCGTCCAAGTGTGCGTCACGGAAGCCTTCTTCACCTTGGCCCCCAGGATGATGCTGCAGCCCGCGCTCTTGTTGGTATACGGCCCGCGAGCCCACCCACTCTCTAGACACCAGTTGTGATCTCCTGCCTTCCGCCAGCGGGCCTCCCAGGGTCTCTCACGTCCATGGCCCTTGGCGGTCGTGCCGTTCAGACACACGAAGTCGTAGGCTCGGCAGGCCTGTGCGATCGCGGTGAGCCTCTCACCGCTGGACGCGTGCAAGGGGTTATACTGGAGTACTCGAAGGCGGCTGCCGACCATCACGCGCACGAGCAGGAGCCAGCAGCCCACACTGAGACATCTAGAAGCCATCGGAAACGAGGTAAGATGTGAGAAGGATGTCTCTGAAGAGAGGCATGTAGGTGGTGTGGGAGCTGGGCGCCTGTCGCCCTGGGCATCTGTGCGGGCACTCCTGACCCAGATGCCTTGGAGGATGAGGAGGAGGAGGAGGAGGAGGAGGAGGAGGCTCCGTTTCCGTCCGTCGCCGCCCTATTTTGTCCCAGTCGAAGGCCCGCCTGTTGGCCTGGCGGCCCCGTTCCCGTCCGCCGTCGGCGCCCCGCCGCACCCCCCCGTTGCACCCTTCCCTGTTGGCATCGCACCGTCTTGCATGGTTTGCATTACGTGCTTTGCTTTGCATTGGTTTGCATTGTTTGGGACTGCGTTGCATTGCTGGCATTGTGTTGCGTCACATGGCTTGCTCTACGTGTATTCGATTGCGCCACGTGGCCTGCAAGAGGTCGATGCTCGGTGCCCACCCTGGCTATCACTGAATCTTGCTGGTGTCGAATCCTCCTTCCTCCCTCCCCTCTCCCTCCCTCCCTCCCTCCCTCCCTCCCCCTCCCCCCTCCCCTCCCTCCCTCCTCCCTCCCTCCCTCCTCCCTCCCCCCTCCTCCCTCCTCCCTCCTCCCCTCCTCCTCCTCCTCCTCCTCCTCCTCTCTCCTCCTCCTCCCTCCTCTCTCCTCCTCTCCTCCCTCCTCCTCCTCCTCCTCCTCCTCCTCCTCTCTCTCCTCCTCTCCCTTCTCCTCCTCCTCCTCCTCTCTCCTCCTCCTCCTTCCCTCCTCCTCCTCCTCCTCCTCCTCCTCCTCCTCCTCCTCCTCCTCCTCCTCCTCCTCCTCCAGGAGATGGAGGACAAGCGGGACCAGATCGTGGTGATCTTGGCAGGCCCCCCCGGGCTGCCCGCCGCCGCTCTGGGCCCGTGGGTGCCCCGGGCCACCCCTCGCGCTTCGCTGGGCCGCCTCGGGGGCACCTCGGAGGCCAGGACCTCACACAGGGCGTCGGAGCGAGGCGGCGAGGCGAGGCGAGCGCGCGGTTCCGCCGGGGGCGGGGCCCTTTAGGGCCTCTTGGCATTGCTCGGACGTGTGCGTTTTTCCTTCGGCGAGGACCATCGAGGAGCATCCTTGATCATGTGGCGAAAAAACCACGCACGAAACCGAAAAAAACACAGGGAATGGACGTCCGAGCGATGGCCAGTTCAGGGCATGCGCGGGGGGGCCGGGGCCCTCAGCGCTTGTAGTCCTCGTTTGCCGAGGTCGGGGTGCCGAGTCATGAGCGGGTGGACGCTGGAGGCGAAGTGGTGCAGGTGGAAGTGGAGAGTCGGAAGCCGGATGCAGGGCGTCGGGATCTACAGTCAACCCGCATAGTGCGATCGCCCCTCCTCCTTCGGTCTCGTCCGGGTTTCCTTCCTCCCTCTCTCTCCCCCTTGCACCCCCTCGTCTCTCCTCCCTTCTCTCCCTCCCTTGCACCCCCTCGTCTCTCTCTCTCTCTCTCTCTCTTGCCCCCCCCTTCTCCCTCTCTCTCCCCCTTGCACCCCTTCGTCGTCGTCGTCGTCTCTCTCTCTCTCTCTCCCTCTCTCCCCCTTCTCTCTCCTCCCTCCCTCTCTCCCTCCTCCTCGTCTTTCGGGCGCGTCCCCCTCTCGCCGAGCCTGGCCGGGCCCGCTCCTCGGCCTAAGGAGCGGTGCACATGGCCTCCCTGACCAGGCCGAGATAGGCCCACACGCCGACCCCTCCTCCTCCTCCTCCTCCTCCTCCTCCTCCTCCTCCTCCTCCTCCTCCTCCTCCTCCTCCCCAGGAGCGGCCCGGCCAGGATCGGCGAGGTGGATCCGGTCAGCCCTCGGCTAGACGTAAGAGTGACCCTTCGCCGGAGTGACCCTTGGTGCGGGCACAGATGGGTCCCCAGGTGGCCGAAAACGAAGCAGGAGCAGCGGCCTGCGCGCCCAGGTTTGGTCCCCCCGCGGCCCCCAAAAAACCGCGCATCAGAAGTCACTCTTACCCAGGGTCACTCTTGCGTGTAGCCGAAACCCGCAAAGGTAAGGAGGAGCGACTTTACAAGGTCATCTTAAGTCTGGCCTGTACCCGAACAGGGTGATTTTCGACAAAATAAAACATACCCCAAACATAATCATGGTTATCTCAAGTCGGGCCTGTCCCCCTACAGGGGGATTTTCGACGAAAAATAAAACATACCCCCTAAATAGTCAAAAAATAATCCCAAAATAGTCTGGGGACTATTTTTTGAATATTTGTTATCTTCTTTTGGGGTACTTTGGGGGTATTTATTTTTCGTCGAAATCCCCCTGTAGGGGGACGCCCGACTTAAAGGTCATCTTCGCATCCTTCCCCTTTGGCCCATCCTTGGCCGCGCTCGCCGGCCGCGCCCCGCCCGCAAAGTGCCGGCATGGCCTTCCGAGGCCTCTGCATCCTCATCGTGCGTCCTCCGCATGCGGGCTCCTCCCCCTCCTCCTCCCCCCCCTCCTCCTCCTCCTCCTCCTCCTCCTCCTCCTCCTCCTCCTCCTCCTCCTTTTCCCCTCTCCTCCTCCTCCTCCTCGACTGTATGCACTATGCGCCCTGGAAAGGGCCCCGCCGCCGAGGATCGAGGGAGTCGCCGTCGCTCCCTCGGCGGAGGGCGGCGGAAGGTCGGCGGAGGGCGGCGGAAGGTACGCAGGGGCGGCCCCGCCGGCGGACGTAAATCAGGAGGGAAAAAACACACTCAGACACAATTAATCGTCGATCCCCTAGAAAATATGGGAAAATATGGGAAGTGGGGGGGAAGACAGAAACCCAGACAATATAAGAAAATGTGGGGAATCCAGTTGTTTGTATATTTATTTGTGTGTCCTGGGGTCCCTTCAGTAAGGGATGCGCCCCCGAGGGACGGCAAGGTTTTTGGATGCAGGGTCTCCGGTTTGGACCACTTATGTTGGCCCTGGCTAGGATCGTGGGCGGCCAAGAGGGGGGACTTAGGGTGGGTGGATCTCACGGCGTGGGCCATGATGCTTCCCCCGATTTCTCGGGCGCCTCTTCCTGTTCCATGACGTCCCTGGCCACCCCATGAGCCGCGCACATGCCGCAGGCCATGATTTGCGCCCCCCCCCCCCCCTCTTGGACGCCCCCCTCTTGGGACGCCCCCGATGGGACCGCCCTGGGCCCAGGATCGGTGCACACGCCCCTCCTGGCGCGGCCAGGGAGACGCAGTGTGCACAGCTCCTGGGCCCCGGATGGGCCTGGCCGGGGGCGGTTTGGGCGTTGCGTAATGGTGGAGTCATAAATCGGGGGGTGGCGAGGGTGGTCCGAAAGGGTGCCCAAACGGTACCTAAACGAGCCCCCTTGACCTCCGGAGGGGCACGAAAGGGGACCGTTTCTGACCCCCCCATTTCTGACCCCCCCATGAAGCCACGCCCCGGCAGTGGATAGGTACACAGTCAACCCGCACAGTAAGGATGGGCAACCTTCCCAAGGGTACCCTTGCATCCTTGCCTCCTCGGTCCATCCTTCGCCGCTCTCGCTGGCCGCGCCCCGCTCGAGAAGCTTCGGAATGGGCGTCCAAGGCCCTCGCATCCTTATCGCGTATCCTTACGATACTGGTTGACTGTAGATATAGGTATAGGCCTCGTCGCCCTCTCATTAGCTGGCAGGGTCGGAGCCGCGGATCCCCGCCTCCTCAAGCTTAGCCTCAAGATTAGGAATACTCGAAAATAGTATATAGATCGTGTGGGGGACGATTTTTCTATTTTGTGTGTGTGTGTGTTTTGTTTGAGCATGTTTTGAGTAGTTTGGCTTTTCGTCCAAAATCCGCCTGTAGGGGACATGCCGGACCTAAGGTTAGCCAGCTGACCAGCTAGCCACGGATCCAAACAGCTGCCAGCCAACTGTCCAGCACGGGCCCGCCGCACGGAGCCCGCAGCAGCGGGAGCCACGGAGGGTCCCGCCGCGGGAGGCGAGCCCGCAGTGGCTGCATTGCCCGACGGCTTTCTGGATGTCGGCCTCGAGCTTGCGGGGTCTCCCGGGGGGTCCCCGAGGGGCCTCTTGGAGGCCTCTTTGGGGACCTCGTGAATCGGGGGTGGACAGAACCCCCAACAGTGACACGTCGATTAGTGAATTGTCCGTTTTCGGTTCTCGAGAGGGGCGCCGTGGCCGTTATTTTCCAGGCTTGCGCCCGCCAGGTTTGGGCCTCAGGTCGTTTTCACTAAACCACGTTTTACTAAATGGGGGTCTGTCCATCCCCGAGTGAAGGCCTCGTGGATGCCTCGTGGGGCCCCTTGGGTGCCTCTTGGGAGCCTCCTGGGGACTGGGGGCCTCTCGGGGGCTCTGTGAGCTGGGGTCGGGGCGGGGAGGGCTGGGACGCGGGTGCATGGCTGGAGGCAGGACGGAGGAGGGGCTAGGACCTTCTGTGAGCCGTCAACCTCAGACGGGGTCAGCAGCTGGCAATTCTGCACAGGCGGGGTCTCAGCGATGGCAACTCAGCGCAGGCCAGGGGGAGGAGGTCCTCCGTGCGCCGCGCTCTCAAGGGACCGCTGGAGCCTCGTGCAGCGGGCACGGCTGCGCCGCTCTGTGGTGTCCGCCACGGCAGCGTTGCGTTCGCCTCGCTGCGGGGCAGGGCGGGGTTTGGGGGGCGGAGCAAACTCGCCCCTGCAGACTGAGGGCGCACCAGTTCGGGTTCAGGAGGGGCTCTCGGGTTTCTGGCCCTTCCCGAGGTCTGGGTTGGGGAACCCCTTCGTGGCCGAGACCCTCCGTGGCCAGAAGTGCCCCTCCGTTCCTCACTCTGCGTTCCTCAGGCGATCGCAAGCATGGATCAAGGGGGCGTGCATTAGCGACGGGTGCAGTTTCCCTGGGAAATCGCGGCTTTTCGTCGCCGAACGAGGCGGCACCGGCCGCACTTTGGTGAGGGCACCTCCCCCGATCCACGGATTTGGCGACCGCGCGCCAAATCCATGGATCGCTAATCCTTATTTGCGCGCCCCCAGTCTCCTCATGGTAGCACGAGGACTGCACGAGAGGCCTCCATGGAATTGGTGCATGGCTCTGTTCCTCCACTGGTCACAGGTGGTGCAACCACCAGGGTGGGGCACAGACTGGTGGGCTTGTTTTCCACCGCCACCACCACAAGTAGGAGGCAGAGGGGGCCCTCCTCTTCTTCCTCCTCCTCCTCGTCCTCAACCTCCTTCCCCCCTCCAACTTATGGTGGTGGTGGTGGTGAAAACAGGCCCATCACATATTCTCTCTACGGCGTGTCCTCCGACTCTCTGTCTGGCGCGGCCACCGCGCCTCGCTGCGGGTTTTTCTGTGGCTGGCCCGCGGAACGCCGCCGCCAGCCGGGCAGGCTACGAGACCGAAATGGACACCTTCTTCGACTCCAATCCCGGCTTCAAGCGCCGCGCCCAGCCGTAGCGGTTGCCTCCTCCACCCCCACCTCGCTCCCATACGAGGCGATGCTTCCCGATGGGGGTATTGCTCGGTGCTTGACGTTTCGCGCCCCCCCCCCCGCCAGCCCATGGAGAGCGGCCGAGAGAAAGGAGGAAGAGGCATACGCAGTGAAGCAGAGAGGGAGCAACAGGGGTGAGCCGAGGTCTCTCGGAGCGGGGGGGGGCGCCCTGGATGGCCTGATGGGCTGTTGGGACCATCTTGGGCCCGCGTGGGGAGCGAGGAGACGGAGGGAGGAGGAGGCAGGATGGACGGAAGGAACGAAGTGAGGAAGAACAGGAGGAGGAGGAGGCTTTCGCTGATCTCTTGTTGTGAGAGCCGATGTGAGAATTCTTGCTCCTGGTGGCTTGCGAGCTATGGTTCACGATCCTACCTCTGTCTGGTGGCGTCGGAGGATTGACGAGGTTCGACGAGCAGGAGAAGGAGGAGGAATAATAGGAGGTTGAGGAGGAGGGGGGCGGGAAGAGGGAGGAGGGAAGAGAGAGGATGGAAGAAGGAGGTTTGGATGAGCAGGGAGGAGGACGAGGGAGGAGGAGGAGCAGGAGGAGGAGGACGGGGGAGGAGGAGAATGAGGAGGAGGAGGAGGAGGAGGACCGTTCGCTTCCCCGCCGCACCGTCTCCCGATCGCGACCTCGGCGGGCCAGGCAGGCGTCCCCCCCAGCCCGCCGCCGCCCCCCCCCCGCCTCGGCCGAGGTCGCGCGTGCCGCTCACGTTCCGCTTCGAGGAGCGGACGCGCGCGCGCGCCGGGGGGCGGGCTCTGCGCTCCCCCCCCCCCGCCCCCCCCTGGGGCCCCCTGACCTCGAGGACCGAGATGGAGAAGGGCATCGAGCCGAGACGCCGAAGTAACGACCGCGGTGGGTTCGGAGGAGCCTCGCTGTCCCTGCCCGCGTCGAGCAGGATGCGCGGTCGGTGCCGCCGCCGACGCGGTCCGTGGGGAGCAGGCGTCGCCTGCCCAGCGGCCGGCCGCTGCTGGTTTCGTCACGCCCTCGCTGCTGGGCGTCACGCCACTGTTCGTCCAGAGCCGCGTCGGGCGCGCTGGCCCGAGGAAGGGGGGGGGGAGGCAGACGGGTGCAGCAGGTGCGGGCACGGGGGGCATCGTGACAGGGGGAGGGGGCCGATCGGCCACGAGGGGGGGGGCATCGGCCCCCAAATCTCCCGCTCACCGCCGACGAGGGCCCGGTGCCGGTGGGACGTGCGGAGTCGCCGTCGGGGACTTGTCGCCGATCTAATGGGCCGCGTGTCGCCGAGTCCAGCTCGATGGCTCCCCCCCTGGGCTGCTCCTGTAACGTTCGCCCTCAGGATATAGCCCAGGGCATGATGATGATGATGATGCTGCTGCTGCTGCTGATGAGGATGATGATGATGCTGATGATGATGCTGATGCTGATGCTGATGCTGATGATGCTGCTGCTGATGATGATGATGACGATGATGATGATGCTGCTGCTGATGATGATGATGATGAGGATGCGGATGATGCTGCTGCTGCTGATGATGGTACTGATGATGATGTTGATACTGATGATGATGCTGCTGCTTATGATGATACTGCTGCTGATTATGATGATGATGACGATGATGCTGATGATCACGATGATGATGATTATGATGATGATGATTATGATGATGATGATGATGATGATGATGATGGTGATGCTGATGCTGATGATGATGCTGATGATGATGCTGATGATGATGCTGCTGCTGATGATGATGATTATGATGATGATGCTGCTGATGATGATGATTATCATGATGATGATGATGATGCTGATGATGATGATGCTGATGATGATGATGATGGTGCTGCTGCTGCTGCTGATGCTGATGATGATGATCCTGCTGCTGCTGCTGATGATGATGCTGATGATGATGATTATGATGATGATAATGATGAAGATGACGATGATTGATGATTGATGATTGATGATTGATTGATGATGATTGATGGTGATGGTGATGGTGATGGTGATGGTGATGATGATGATGATGATGCTGATGCTGATGCTGATGCTGATGCTGATGCTGATGCTGATGCTGATGCTGATGCTGATGCTGATGATGATGATGATGATGATGAGGAGGATGAGGATGAGGATGAGGATGAGGATGATGATGATGAGGATGAGGTGAGATGATGATGACGATGATGAGATGATGATGATGATGATGACGATGATGCTGATGATGATGATGATGATGTGCCTGCTGATGTGCGTGATGATGATGCTGATTGATGATGATGATGATGATGCTGATGATGATGATGAGATGATGATGATGATCCTGCTGCTGCTGATGATGCTGATGATGATGATGATGATGATGATGATGATGATGACCTGCTGCTGCTGCTGCTGCTGATGATGATGATGATGATGATGATGATGATGATGATGATGATGATATGATGACGAGAGGAGGAGGAGGAGGAGGAGGAGGAGGAGGAGGATGGAGGAGGATAGGAGGAGGACGGGAGGAGAGGAGGAAGTTGGAGGAGGAGGAGGCGGAGGAGGAGGAAGGAGGAGGATTTTGCTGCTGTGAGGAGGCGGGGGGGTGGAGGGAGGAGGAGGAGGAGGACGAGGAGGACGAGGAGGAGGAGGAGGAATTAGATGAGGAGGAGGAGGAGGAGGAGAGGAAATGGGGTCGAGGAGGAAGAGGACGAGAAGGGGGAGGAGGAGGAGGAGCAGGAGGGAGGAGGAGGAGGAGGAAGGAGGAGGGGGATGGGGAGGAGGAGGATGAGAGGAGGAGGAGGGGAGGTAGGAGGAGGAGGAGGAGGAGGAGGAGAGGAGGAGGAGGAGGAGGAGAGGAGAGGAGGGAGGAGGAAAGGAGAGGCGAGGAGGAGAGAGGAGAGGAGAGGAGGAGGAGGAGAGGACGGGGGAGGAGGATGAGGAGAAGGAGTACAGGAGTATCAGGAGGTTGATGAAGGATACGAGGGAGAAGGAGGCGGACGAGGAGAAGGAGGAGGAGGAGGAGGAGGAGGAGGAGGAGGAGGAGGAGTCGCAACGGTCGGCAGCCGTCCGAGGACTATTCCTGCACGGAGCTGAGCAAGATTCAGAATCTCGTTCTTGGTGGCTCCGGCATCGAAGTCCCGGCGCGCCGCCCCCTGCAGCGCTTCTTCGGTGCTTTCCTCCGTCCCTTCTTCGTCGTCGTCGTCCTCCTCGTCCCCTTCCTCCTTCCCCTCGTCCTCCTCGTCGTCACCTTAACTCCTTCCTCCTCCTCCTTCTCTTCCTCCTCCTCCTCGCTCTCTAACCTCTCCTCAAAGAGGGGCTTCGCACAGGGGGGACGAGAGCTTCTCCTAGGTATGTTGGCGATCTTCGGGACAGCTCTCGGGGCCTCTGCGTCATCCCGAGGGATTTCTTCGAAGCTCTTTTCCAAATTTGTTCATAGCTGCTGGCCCCAGTCAGGAGGAGGCGGAGAATGATCCTTAGTCTTTAGTTAATCCTTGCGACATGACGGGTTTGGTGTGACAAAGGGCCGCATGGGAGAAACGTCCAGCGGCCGCTGCAACGTGGAGGGGCCCTTGTGACCATAGAAGTACCATCGTCGAACCACTCACGCTCGCCTTAAATCGCGCAAGGGACCGAAAAGTGACCAGCGTCAAAGTCCGCACTCAAAGTTTCATTACATGCTAAGCCACAGCAAATACAGTCAGCCCTGCAAATCACGGCGAGGGTAGAATTCCCAGAGCTGGAAGCACAGCGAACGAGAACACAATGGCGCGCGCTGTAGCTGAGTCGCGAGCTCAAGGTGTAAGCACATCGTCTCACATGGCGCTTGCGTCGTCAACGCTGAAGTCATTACCACAAGTAGTAGCGCTGAAGTGGAAGACGTAGGTACAGCCAAACGGGAGTCACTAGCTAAGATAACAACCAGTTCCAAGCAAAAGGCGGCTGCCCGCTTTGTCTAACGATTTCAGTTGCAGTGAAATTGTGCTTGCAGAGAGAGAGAGAGAGAGAGAGAGAGAGCTGGTGTGTGAGATGTAAGGGTCTTGTTGACGTCTGCGGTTGCCTGAAAGGCGATGACCAACACCAACACAACAATCAACAACGAGAGTAAGGCGGATGGCAGTGCTGACGGCAACTAAAAGGCACTCGCAACGTGAACAGGACGAGCTGCGAGTGACGTTTCTCGTCCTACTGCACATCCTTCTTGTCCTTCTTACTCCTACTCCTGTTTCTCGTCACCAGCATCCTCATCCTGATCGTCCTCCCTCCTCCCCCTCTCATCCCCCTCTTTCCTCCTCTTCCTCCATCTGTCTTTGTCTCTCACCTCTTCCCGTTCCGCACTGATTGTTATGTTCCAAAAACAGATCGAGTTTTGAGCTCCTTGGATGGTTCAGGTATGTATCTGCGTACGGCTGCTATGTGGGCGTTCGCGCGCGTGGTTTTGACCCAGCGCTATGCCATGCGACACAGGTGCGCAAGCTTTTCAACATATGTGCGCGACCAAACATGCAGACATCACCGTACAAGATACTCGATGGTCGCAGCCTCATCCAAGCGATGGTCTGTACTTGGTGGTGGTCGGTTGACCAAGTATTACACATTTGATGGATAGCTCGATCCAGCGTCTTATCCGAAAGCACCCATCCGATTATCGTAGGCATCACACATGGGCTCGTACATTTAGGTCGTCACGGTATGTCGTCATCCTCTCCTGAGACCCCCTAGTTCGAGCCGGAGTGGGATGTCTTAGACGTAGTTTGATGTTGGAGATGCAGTCAGTGTTTGTCGTTCTTGATGTGCAAGCTTTCTGCCCGCGGTTTGTTGCGCTCGTCCTTTTCTGTTGCCCTTCTTCTAAACACAGTTCCGAAAGCAAAGAAGTCCAGGATCGCGCGCCATCGGTTGTTCTGCTTCTAGCTCTTGCAGGGGAGAGTCCAAGTGAGAGCATTGTCGGACCATATACCAGGAGGCGAACCTATACACAAGCTCGGATTTTGTTAATTGCATCGTCTCCAGCTCACTTTTCCTCCGGTGTTAACGCGTGCCATTTGGCCGCCTTCTCGTGCTGCTGCTCTTCCCCCCTCCTCGCTGCTCTTTCCCCCTCCCCCTCCCCGTCCTCCCCCTACTTCTCCCCCTCCCCCTCCTCCCCCTCTCCTCCCCCTCTCATCTCCCTCCTCCTCCTCCTCCTTCTCCTCTGCTCTTCGATCGATCCCTGCGAACCTCAGGCTGGCATGGACACCAAGCTCAGCGCCATGGTCAGCTTCTCCACAGGCTGTCTGGGCGTGTCGCCCCGCGTGGGTCCCCCACGGCACCCCGCCCCAGCTCCCCCCCTCGCCCCATTCGTTTCTCTTCCCCGCTTTCGCAGTACTCTCTCTCGAAGAAACAAAACATAAACATACACTTTTGGCGCTCCCCCTCCTCGCCTCCTTCGTTTCTCTTTCCCACTTGCTCAGTACTCTCTCTCTCTCTCTCGAAGAAGAAGAAGAAGAAAAATAAACAAAGCATAAACATACACTGTTGGCGCTCCGCGCGAATCTATTCTCATTTCTCTTCCCCACTTGCTCAGCACCTTCTCTCGAATAACAAAGCGTACACATGCACTTTTGGCGCTCCGTGCGATTTGTTTCGATCCGCGCCTGGGCCTCCCGGCGGCGCCTCCAGCGCCGCTGGCGCGCTCCGCGCGCCAGGGAGGGGGGTCCAGCGCGAATCCAAGAAATCCGCACGGAGCGCGAACAGTTTATGTATATGTGCTTTTGTTCCCAACCATCCTGTGGTGTTGGGTCCTCGTTTTGAATAGACGGTGGCCCCGTCTCCTCTCCTCCTCTCCTCCTCTCCTCTCCTCCTCCCCCTCCTTCCTCCTCTCTCCTCCCACCATCATCATCGTCATCACCAATTTCGGCACACCCCTCACACGTTTCGTGGCCCCATAGGGAGCTCCACCGAAGGTCTTAGTGGGTGTGCCCGCATGCGTCCCGCACACCCATTTCGGCACACCCCTCACACGTTTCGTGGCCCCATAGGGGGCTCCCGACCCAGGTGTGCCCGCAGCGTCCACCGACCCCCTTACATGTTTCGTGCCTCCACCGAAGGTCCCAGTGGGTGTGCCCGCATGCGTCCCGCACACCCATGTCGGCACACCCCTCACACGTTTCGTGGCCCCATAGGGAGCTCCACCGAAGGTCCCAGCGGGTGTGCCCGCATGCGTCCCGCACACCCATTTCGGCACACCCCTCACACGTTTCGCGGCCCCATAGGGAGCTCCACCGAAGGTCTCAGTGGGTGTGTGCGCATGCGTCCCGCACACCCATTTCGGCCCACCCCTCACATGGTTCGTGGCCCCATAGGGAGCTCCACCGAAGGTCCTTGTGGGTGTGCCCGCATGCGTCCCGCACACCCATTTCGGCACACCCCTCACACGGTTCGTGGCCCCATAGGGAACTCCACCGAAGGTCCCAGTGGCACAGTCCGAATGCGCCCCCGCCATTCATTTCGGCCCACCCCACACACGTTCCGCGGCCCCATAGGGAGCCCAACCGAAGGTCTCAGTGGGTGTGCCCGCATGCGTCCCGCACACCCATTTCGGCACATCCCTCACACGCTTCGTGACCCCATAGGGAGCTCCACCGAATGTCCCAGTGGGTGTGCCCGCACGCGTCCCGCACACCCATTTCGGCACACCCCTCACACGTTTCGTGGCCCCATAGGGAGCTCCACCGAAGGTCCCAGTGGGTGTGCCCGCATGCGTCCCGCACACCCATTTCGGCACACCCTTCATACGTTTTGTGGCCCCATAGGGAGCTCCACCGAAGGTCCCAGTGGGTGTGCCCGCATGCGTCCCGCACACCCATTTCGGCACACCCCTCACACGTTCGTGGCCCCATAGGGAGCTCCACCGAAGGTCTCAGTGGGTGTGCCCGCATGCGTCCCGCACACCCATTTCGGCACACCCCTCACACGTTTCGTGGCCCCATAGGGAGCTCCACCGAAGGTCCTTGTGGGTGTGCCCGCATGCGTCCCGCACACCCATTTCGGCACACCCCTCACACGGTTCGTGGCCCCATAGGGAACTCCACCGAAGGTCCCAGTGGCACAGTCCGAATGCGCCCCCGCCATTCATTTCGGCCCACCCCTCACACGTTTCGTGGCCCCATAGGGGCTCCGCCGAAGGTTCCAGTGGAACAGTCCGCATGCGTCCCGCCACTCATGTCGGCACACCCCTCACACGTTTCGTGGCCCCACAGTAGCTCCGCCGAAGGTCCCAGTGGCACAGTCCGCATGCGTCCCCGCCGCTCATTTCGGCACACCCCTCACACGTTTCGTGGCCCCATAGGAGCTCCGCCGAAGGTCCCAGTGGCACAGTCCGCATGCGTCCCGCACACTCATGTCGGCTCACCCCTCACACGTTTCGTGGCCCCATGGGAGCTCCGCCGAAGGCCCCGGTGGCAGAATCCGCATGCGTTCCCGCCATTCATGTCGGCACACCCCTCACACGTTTCGTGGCCCCACAGGAGCTCCGCCGAAGGTCCCAGTGGCACAGTCCGCATGCGTTCCCGCCATTCATTTCGGCAGACCTCTCACACGTTTCGTGGCCCCATAGGAACTCCACCAACGGTCCCCGTGGCGCAGTCCGCATGCGTCCCCGCCATTCATTTCGGCACACCCCTCACACGTTTCGTGGCCCCATAGGAGTTCCGCCGAAGGTCCCAGTGGCACAGTCCGCATGCGTCCCCGCCACTCAATTCGGCACACCCCTCACACGTTTCGTGGCCCCATAGGGAACTCCACCGAAGGTCCCCGTGGCGCAGTCCGCATGCGTCTCCCTTGCCCAGTACAGCGTTACGTGGCCCCATATGGAGCCCCACCGCAGGTCCCAGCCAGCCAGCTAGCTCTCTTTGCTCGGCGCCGCGGACGACCTGCGAGCGTCGCTGGGACCCCTCCGGGGCGACCTGCCTGCGTCGCGGGGGCTCCGTGCTGCGTTCTGCCCAGCGCCTCGCTCGCCCGTCGTCGCTCTGCCCAGCGTCAAGAGCCTTGCCCGCTATCAGCCAGCCAGCTAGCTCTCTTTGCTCCGCGCAGTGGACGACCCGCGCGCGTCGCTGGGACCCCTCCGGGGCGACCTGCGCGCGTCGCGGGGACTCCGCGCTGCGCTGCGCCCGCAGCCTTGGACTTTTGAGTGCGCGGGCAAAGAGGGAGTAAAGGAAGGGGAGGAAGCGGGCGCGATCCTCGCGGGGGGGCGCGCCGACATTGGCGTCGCGGCGCGCGGGCGATGCCGTCGGGGAGTCCCGGGGAAGCTCCTTGCGGCGGCCACGCCCAGCGTCACGAGTACTCCGAGGCAGTCATTGTCAAATTATTGACATTCGTATACAAATGCACCACGCTTTGTCACATTCGCATTCATGCACGTAGACTCGTTCGCACGCAGATTCATTCATAGTCAGACGCACGCGCGCAGATTCACCCGCGCTCAGTCTTCCTATATACTCAGATCAATCATTTGCGTTCGCGTTGTGTACCACGCCACTCATGTTGGCACACCCCTAGCGCGGTTCGCTGCCTCATAGGGATCGCCACCGAAAAAGTGAATCACTATTGCGGTACTCACACTTGTATATGGTTGGGTCCCTCGTCAGGCTAAGTTTCTTATTATGTGTTTTCTTCTTCTTCTTATTCTTATTCTTCTTCTTCTTCTACTCTCTCCCAGGACCACTCCCGATCCGCATGCGGTAGGCTCGCGTCGTGTCGATTGGCGGCGACTCCGCCGCAGGCGTTCCACGTTGAACGACGCTGCGACCCCGAATTGGTCCATTTCGGAGGCGGCCGATCAGAAACCAATGCCGAAGTCGGCTCGGCACGAACCTGCCGTATCTGCCGTTCCCGCGCATTGTTTTCCCGGTACCGACCTCGCGCACGACGGTGCCTCGATCGTGCACGGTCCCTCTGGTCCCGCCCAGAGACCGTCCGACCCCCTCCCGCGCGCTTCTTCCCGATTTCCCGACGGCAGTCGAGATTCCACCGCAGCATGCCCGGGAGTGGAAAGGCTGAGCCCGTCGGATGCAGGACCAATCCTATGACGTCGAGAGATGGGCCTGCTTTCCACCACCACCACCATGAACTGGAAGGGGGAGGGGGTCCTCGTCCTCTTCCTCCTCGTCCTCCTCCTTCTCGTCGTCCTCCTCCTCCTCGTCCTAGTTTCGGCTCGAGAGCTTTGGGTGCGACAGCCAGCCTGTCGCGAGCTCTCCTCGGGCTGGGACCATCGCGCCTTCGGAGGAGGCGTGGCACAGGCGGGCGCGCCGCCAGCGCTCCAGCGCGCGCTCCCTTGTCCGCGCCTGGAAGGGGGCGCGGTCGCCGCTGCTGCAGGCGCGCCTCGTGGAGGCGGCCCGCCTGCTGGACGCTCACCACGGCTCCTCGGCTGGCAGCATGGCTGTGGGCGCTGGGCGTCGCGGTGGCGGTGGCGCAGGGCGGCAGCCTGGGTGGCAGTGCCCGTGCCAGGGATGTGGCTACTACAACTTCGGGGAGCGGGACACGTGCCGTGTGCTGGGGTGCAAAGGCAAGCGACCCCCCACGAGGCGGCCCGCGGAGCTGGGGGACTTCGTGGTGCGGCCGCGCCCACGCGCTCCTCGTGGACCTGGGGCAGGCGAGGGTGGGCAGCGCGCGGGCGGTGGTGGAGCGCCCAAGCGAGCCCCCTGGTGGCCTGACGACCGTGCTGGTGCTGGTGGGGGTGGCACCGCAGCAGCTGGTGGTGGTGCAGGTGCAGGAGGTGAGGGCACTGGCATCAACGAGGAGCTGCGGCACAAGCTGGTGCAGTTGCCTGAAGACGCCTTCAAGGTCAGCGCCCAGCTGCTGGACGCCAAGACCAAGCGCGGGATTCTCCAAGCCAGGAGGTTGGCACAGGAGGGGCTGGGCGACCTCTCCAAGGTCAAGGAGGTCAAGGCGGCGCAGCTGCGGGCCGACGAGAAGTCCGTGCAGGTCACGAAGGCGGAGGGCCAGCTGGAGCAGGCCAAGGCGCGGGCTCATCGCGCTGTCGCTGAGATGGCGGAGCTGGGGGAAAAGCTGGTGCAGCTGCGGCGCGAACTGGAGGAGGCCACGGTGCAGGCCAAGGCGGCCGTGGCAGCCCAAGCCGCGAAGCAGTCCGAGGCGGAGACGGCGAAGCCGAAGGCGCCAGCTGCGGCGGCCCCCACGGCCGTGTCGGCTGGGCTGCGGGCAGCGATTGCCGCGGAGCTCGCCAGCCACGCGGCAGAGGCGCCTGAGCTGGTGGTCAAGCTTGGCGGGGCGCT